AAATAAAATCTTTAAAAAAAAAAAAGTCAAGAGAAAAGGAAAGTAATACACATCCAAATTACTCATCTGTCTAATTAGAATCCTACATTCATGGGTTTAAAAAAAAAAAAAAAAAGCCTAAAAGACAAAATACCATACGATTTCACTTATATATGGAACCTAAAAACACAATGAACAAACAAAAAGCGGAAACAGACCCATAAATACAGAGAACAAACTGATGTTGCCGGAGGGGAGGGGGAGGGGGCGTGCAAAAAGCGGGGTCGGGGATGCAGGCTTCCAGTTATGGAATACGAGTAAGGCACAGGGATGAAAGGCACAGAGTCGTGTGTGGTGTGTGGTGACAGATGGCGGCCACACTTGGGGTGGACACAGCATAACCCACTGAGTCATCGAAGGGCAACACTGCACAGCTGAAACTAATGTGACCCTGTGGGACAACTATACTTCAATTTTTTGAAAGTCTACATTAGAGATATTGGGGGGAATAAATATGTGCTTACACACACACACACACTCTCTCTCACACAGCTCTACCCACTGAGAGACCCCAGAAGCAGGGACATACCAGTAGTAAAAAGTATTCTAGGGCCCAGATCTTGGGGTTTTTTACCATACATTGTTACAAAAACTGTTTTTCTTATGAGGAGAACTTTTAAGAGCTAGTCTCTTAGCAACTTTCAAATATGCAATACAGAATTATTAACTACAGTCGCCATGCCTTCCATGACCTCCCCGGGACTTACTTATTTTATAACTAGAAGTTTGTACCATTCGGCCTCCTTCACCCAGATCTGGGTATTTTCATATCTTTCTTCCCTAAAAGGAACCAGGTCTCCTAGAGGAAATGTCTGATTTCAAGGTTGGGGCGGTTTATAAAAGCACCCGACAATTAGCTTTCCTAATTATAATTTAAATGCCTGACATTAAGCTTCTGATTGCTGAGGCATCCACTTCAAAGACCTCCATCTCCAACGAAGACATTGCCAGCCACACCAGATAAAGAGCCAGGGGGTCCCTCTTCTTTTAGAACACTCAGGTTGACCTAGATTAACTGACCATTTGACCACTGGCTTTTCCATTCCTGTGCTTTAATTCCCTCTCATGTTTTAAATTCACCAATAAAGAGTGAGCTCACGAAACCCCAGGCACCCCACCCTCAACCTCTATAAAGGCAGAACCCCAGATCCAGATGTGTGCCCAGCCCCGCTCCTCCTGCTTCCACCTGGCCCTGAGGCCCCAGACATGCCCCAGGCATGCCATGCACCCTGTAGAACCCGTGAATAATAAACCCTCTCTTTTCTAAAGTTCCCTAAAAGCCGTTGCTGAGATGCGACTTGCAACCACAAGAATCACAAGGGCTGGTCTGGCCACAGCACTGGCTGCAAAAGGAAATGCCTATGGGGTCGCATATGGAGTACGGCCCGGGCGAGCAGAGTCCACATCATTCCTAGCAACGGCACCTCTTCCATAGGCTGACACCAACCCAGAACCGGCAGAGAAAAGTACAAGATGGGCCGGGAACATCTCACACCATACAATAAGGAAGCGCTCAAGGAATCACGAGGATGTGCCTAAAGGCCAGAGGAGACAGCTTGAAGGGCTCTCACCAGACAAATCTGGGATACTTCCAGCATCAAATAAATAGCCATGAGTCACACCATTAAGTAACAGAAGAATCCATGAATCCTTACTGCCACATAAACGGGAGAGAAGGAAAATTGTGAAATGCAAACAAATACAGAAGGAACCATGGAGTTAGGGAATGACCGACGAAGTTAAAACTCATGGTGAAAAGTGTGATGTGGAGCACAGTATTTATATAATTTCAAATGAGCTCTACAAGTTACTAATTATGAAAAGAAAACAACTGTACAGAAGATCTAAAGAGCCCTATACAGATCCATTATATGTTACGTAAATGACAATAATTAACGCAGAGCCAGCCTAACCATGAACACCATTTCACTGATTTTGCCAGTAAGGACATTTCAGAGGCCAAACAACAACCTGGGAAAGTAGAGATCCTATTTCTCTTATTGACAGCTTTATCCCTAGCACAATACTGGGTACAGAAGAGCGGCTCAAGAATTTTTTTGTTGTTGAATAAATGAATTCTGTGAATCACAAAGGAAGCAAAGAGAGAAACTGAGCTTCAGATTTTGCTAATTCTGGTAGCTTGGGACCTCTAAAGAACCCCAGTCCGGGAGGTGGAAGGCTGGGCTCTAGTCCCAGCAACAGTACTGGGGACCCCGCGGTCCCGGACCGCTCCCCGCTCCAAGTTCAGCACCTCTATGACTGTTTGCCGGTCTTCCAATATCTCTCCGTCTCAATTTCCTTCCCAGACAAAAGCATAAATCCGTGTGAGCTTTACCACCAAACAGGTTTGAACCGTACGGGGCCACCCTTATTGTGCAGGTATCCCTGTGGAAAATGCAGAGGCAATTAGCAATGCAGCTTACCCAGATGAGGACACCCTGCCCTGAAAATTCTGTTTGCAGAGGAAAAGATGCTCATCACCAGAGAAAAGGAAATCAAACCACAGTGAGACAAAACCTCACACATACCAGCATGGCAACCATCAAAAAAATAAATACATAAGTTCGGCAAGAATGTGGGGAAATGGGAGCCCTTGCATGCAGCCGTTGGGAAATGTAAAATGGTGCCGTCGCAAAGGAAAAATATTATGATTCCACTTACTTGAGGTGCTTAGAGTAGTCTAATAGAGAGAGCAAGCAGAACTGTGGTTGCCAGGGGCCAGGAGGAGAGGGGAAATGGGGATCCGTGCTTAATGAAACACTAATGCAAGATAATGAAAAGGGTCCTGGAGATTGGTTGCTTAACAATGTGAGTGAGCTTACCACCCCTAAACCGTATATTTATAAATGGTTAAGATGGTAAACTTTATGTTATCTGTATTTTACCACAATTTTTTAAAAGTTAGTGAAAAAAAAATTCTGCTGGATGTGTCATAATTCTCCAGACTGTGCCAACTTTCTGGTTTGGTTGTATGACCTTGAACTAGCCATATGACCTCTCAGTATTGACCTCTGGCAAATGGGGAGAACACCTCCCGAGGCTGCTGAGGGGAGCAGCTGGGGTTGCTTTGAACACTACAAAGACCCACCAAATACCAGCCTTGACGGTGGCATAGCTCTTAGGTAATCACATTCGAGACTTTTTTTACCCCAGATCTTGATTTAAAGACCTCCCAATCCCCTTCAGTGCCCAAATCCCAAAAAGCCAGGCTGAGCCCCACAGACACCAACAAGGGCCAAAGGTTTTCTTTTCCATCTGATGGTGAGCCTACTTTGTGCCACCAGCTAAGTAAGGAATTGGACGTGGAGACCGGAGTCAACAGACTCTGACTTCCAATGTATCCCTGGGGACATTTAGTCAACAATTCCAAACCACTGCCGAATGAGCCATCTTGCAACCCAGTTCTGCCCCAACAGTCCTTCCCTCCTCAGCTTACTCTCTCCTTCTTACCTCCTGCACAGCACTGAACACAGCAGTGGGATTTCCTCCAGTCCACCGGACTATCAACCCCTCAGGACAACGCGACTCCCATACCACTTGCAATCTCCATGACCAAACGCAGAGCCTGGTACATCATGATGCCTGGGCACAGATATCACAGGAATCCATCCAGTGCAAGGTCAGAACACCCACCGTGCAGGTGAGCTATCCTCAAAATGGGTCATTACCCCAGCTCCCTCTGCTCCCTCCTCCCCCCTCCAAGCTGTGGACCCTGCAGAGGCTTCTGACCTCGACTTTGGAGCTTCCAGGGCTCACGGCTGGACTTCCTATCTTCCTCCTCTCCTACCAGCTAATCCAACACTTCTTCTTCATCGTGTCCTCATCCCCACCCATCTCCCCGCACCAACACCAACACCTAGACCCTACAACCATCATGCATGGATTACTGTCCTAATCCCCTTCTATAAAAAAAAAATTTTGCCTACAATTCAGTACCAGTGAGAAGAATCACGAGTAAGCTACTACCCCAAGACTGTGAAGGGATTAAAGCACCACTGGCTGGAACTAGCAAGGAGGAGACAAGCAGCAGGATCTAGTCACTACAACCAGCCCGGCCCCCGCTAGGCCCAGGATTCAGTCATCACCAAGATCCCCTTCTGAGCCCGAGAGTGTCTGGTACTGCCTCTGCTCTGAACGTCTGGTCATTAGTGCCTGTTCAAATGCTTTCTTCCAAACTGCTGAAGGACACTTTATCCCCAAAAAGGAAGCTCTTCCTTCCAAGCTGCCACCTACAGTCTGACCCCTGTCCCCAACTCTCCCTCCCAGCCCTCCATGAAGCTCTCTGGAACTGGCTCCCATGAGTGACAAACTCCCCTGTGCCCTACGCTCCGTGCTCTCAGCAGAGCCCTGGCTGGCCCCTGGGGACACAACTTTCTTGCAGCCTCGAGGTGGCCCTTCAGTTTCCCAATTCTGTTTTCTGGCCCCATGCCCTGCCTGTGTCTCCTAGCTGTCTACACCCCTGGCAGCTCCAAAAGCCATGGCACCTGCTATCACTGCTGCATCTAAGACGTTCTCTGTCGGGGCCCCTGGGTGGCTCAGATGGCTAAGCGTCTGCCTTCGGTCAGGTCATGATCTCAGGGTCCTAGGATCGAGTCCCGCATCGGGCTCCTTGCTTAGCAAGGAGCCTGCTTCTCCCT